CCCTGTCTCATTTCACCGTTCCGTGTCATGATATCATGATATTCAACTATATATATAAATTGTGTAAGTCAACTTTTCTTTTGCCTCCTCAAGCTGTAAATTCCTCTTTCATTTTTCCCCCAGCAGAGATCAGAGCTGTGTGCTAGTCTTCAAAACTCTCAGGGACATATAAAGTACAGCAGTAGATCCAAAACACGTCAGAGGGTTGACTGAATTCTTGACATAAAGTACAGCAGTAGATCCAAAACACAGTCAGAGGATTGACTGAATTCTTGAGTTCTTCTCAATAAGGCAAAAGATAATGTCAGAAAATCGATTTTCTATTTTATCTTCACATTCTTGACTCTGTTATTTCTTCTTGCATAATTTTAGCTGTGTATCTGGGACTGAAAGCTACCAGAAGCTGGCAGTGGAGGCTGCTGGTGTAGAAGAAAATGCACAAATAGTACAGTTAATACTTAGTTCTCCCCTTCTGGGCACCATAGCTAGAACAAAAAAACCAAATGCTTTTACTACTTAAAAGAACACTAGGGGAGAGATGGCTGTTGACCAGAATATACTGTGCTGCAGCAGTACAGGACAATGTGAGAGTCTTTATAGAGGACAGTACAACTTAAAGGACTACTGAGTCCCTGTCAGCTCTGTGCAGGTGACAGAAAGATAGCTAGGTTGTCAAATGAGAGCATGAGAAAGGATGTGGCTTGGCATATCCTCTGTCTATATTTACAGATTCTGTATTTGAATGTTAAAGTCTGAAAGCTTTGAAAGCTATCCGTGGGTTAGCTATTTCTTGCTGGAGGACCTAAAATGGCACTGAAAGACTTTGACCTCAAGTCCTTGGAAACAGAAGAGTCTTTTCAGTTTGAGGGATATCACTAAAATGAAATTAGGGAATGACCTTCTCTGAGTTTATATTCCTTTTTTTGTCTTTGGTTTATATAATGCCCTAGATCAGTCTCGTTTTAAAGGTATTTTACTTTCATATGTACAAAAGCAATGAGGCTGGTGAAGGGACTGGAGCACAAGTGCCATGAGGAGAGGCTGAGGGAGCTGGGGGTGTTCAGCCTGGAGAAGAGGAGGCTCAGGGGAGACTTTATCACCCTCTGCAACTCCCTGACAGGAGGTTGGAGTCAGGTGGGGGTTGGTCTCTTCTCCCAGGCAACCAGCAGCAGGACAAGAGGGCACAGACTCAAGCTCTGCCAGGGGAGGGTTAGGTTGGATCTTAGGAAGAGATTTTTTATGGAGAGAGTGCTCAGGCATTGGAATGTTCTGCCCAGGGAGGTGGTGGATTCACCATCCCTGGAGGTTTTCAAGCTGAGACTGGATGTGGCACTTAGTGCCATGGTCTGGTAACCATGGTAGGGTTGGACTCGATGATCTTGGAGGTCATTTCCAACCTGGCTGATTCTATGAAAAAGAAACAGAATTTCCCACTAGGAGCATAAAACATTTGAAACTACAAATGCCCAAATCACCCTGTAACTTGCTGACAGCATCCTGTTGGAACATGCATTTTCACCATTCATCCATTATTTTAGACCAGAACTATAAGAAACAGAAACATGAGAACAAAGACCATAAAACTGCTCTTGAGTGCTAGAAAGGCATTATTAGGAAGAAGAAAACATATAAGCATGAGCTCACAAGTCTGGGAAGAAGACCCTTGGCTCATAGAAACTGGCTTCAGTAGCTCTATAACAGTTTGTAACAGCTGAGGAGCTGCTTTTAGTGTCTCCTACTTCACTGATTAGCCCATTTCCTCCTTTAATTTATCTGTAGAGTCTTACAGTTCTTTAAGACCAAAGGCTGAAAAGCACTACAGACAAGCTACTTTTTCTGCACTGAGCAGTGGTGTCAGTTCAACTTACAAAAGCCAGTCAACAGCAACAAGCAGACTGATGTCCTGGGTAGGGAGACCCACTGCAGTAAGGATCAGAAGCATAGTGACAAGTCCTGCGCTGGGAATACTGGCAGCTCCAACACTTGCAAGAGTGGCGGTCAAACTGCAAAAAAAAAATCAAATGGGAGTAGCAGGAAGAGGAACATACACTTTCAATGCATACTCATGTGATCATTAGGAAGGTCTTATTTTTAATGAGTTCATCCCATAACTTTAATACCTATATGATAAGTCATGGTAAGCTCAGGCCATAGTTTGCACTCTTGTGTTTCTCTACAGATATTTAGGGGGTTATTTATATCTATGGGGTTTGTTCTGAGAGTTGTAAGAGAGTTGTCTGGGAGTTTTAAGTTCTGTAAGCTAGTTCTGCTCAGATCTGTGGCCTAGTTTTTCTAAACTCTACCAACACATCCAGCATTTTGAATCCTGAGTTTTGGTCATCCAGACTTGAAGTTTGGTGACTATGGGTTGAATTGTCAGGGTGGTTCATTTCTGTTTATTCATGTTACTTGAAGACTGAATCGTGAGTTAATGACTGAGAGAAAGTGGTTATTATTAAATACAGAAGAATAAAAGTCTTGGCATCCAAAACTCCCTAAATTAAAGCCAGTGGTTTACCAAGCCTAGACACAAATCACTTCAGATGAAAAAGCAGAATCGATTTGATTGTTTCATAAATCCAAACCTGTATTTGGTTTTGCCACTTATATTTTGATGAAGATCAGCAGAGTGAATGTCTGAGCTTCAAAGGTTTGTAAAAATACAACACAGACCATAACAAATATCAACATCACTGGGCAGTCCTATGAAGAATGGAAAATATATTTATGAGAGAGCAAGTCAAGGGGAGAAAAATAAGAGAAGGAGGAGAGGGAGACAAAGGAGGAGATGGAGAGAGATGAAGAGAGGGGGTAAATAAAAAGGAAAAAGGGACAAAAGAACAAGGAACAAGGAAAAGGAAAGAAAAAACAAGGAAAGCAAAAGTTACATCTGTGTTTTTTCAACACAGAGATGAGTAACATTCTTGCACTTCTGTGGGTGTACCCAACAAATCTGAAACTGCTTCCAATACAGAAGCAAGGGAAAAATGTCTCTGGTGGGGGAAGTCCTTGACCATTAGCCACAGAACTAATCTGTGAGGATGTTAGCCTGATTTAGAGCTGGCAGATGGCTGGCTCTGACCCAGCAGACAATCCAGGCTGCAGTGTTTGTCAGGTGTCTGGGTTAGAGTGCAGCCTACTAAACACCCAGATAGGTCCAGCAGGTATGTAGGCAGGATGCTCTGCTCTGCTGTCAGGCTTTGCATGCAATGCCAGCTCCTCAGGCACTTCCAGCCTAAACTGGTAAGAGACTGCTTCCAATCTCTGTGAGGAAATACTCCTGCCAACCTTCCCACAGCAGCACTTACAGAACTGGAGGGGAATGAAGCTAGCACTGTTCAGGTCTGAACAGAATGTGGCTTAGCTACCATTTCCAAGCTCACCCTTTACCAAAGAATATAGGAAATCAGAGAAACTACATGACCAATATGAAGTAACTCAGCCTGGTCAAAGGCTGATTAAGTCTTCATGATTTTATGTCTGGGTTATTTGAATATTCTCGGTACCATAAAGTGGATATAACAGATAAAACCTAACAAACTTTCCTTCATTTGTATTGTCACCTCAGGAGTTCTTGTCATATTGCTACAGCAAAAATGCTATGCTGCATGAAGAAGAGAACCAGTGGTTTTCTTACAGCTAGACCAAAGTTGCTGTCTGCTTAGTAAATATGAGTCACAAAGCTGGCTACACCAGCCTTGAAATGGTGAGATCAGGAAGACCCAATTTTCAGCCCCTTAGAGGAGGAGAAGAGGAGTTACTCAGGTTCAAGCTTACCAAATGTCTTGGACAACAGCAGATTCCTGACCTGAATTTCACTCATCTCATTTCAGTTTATTCTGTGGCATCTCTGAAATGACTGTTGTCAGTCTTAGGAACAAATATGTGTCATGCAGGTCTAGCATCTTCCTTCATTAGAAGCAGCCCTGAACCTTTCACAAACCTTTGCTTTACTATTTCAGGGCTTGGGGCAGGAAGTAAAGAAATGGAAAATATGGAACTAGCATAGCTGGGCAAGAAACATAGAATTAGACATTCCTTTGCAGGAGTTTCTTTCGTGTTAAAAGGGTTTAATAAAAGAAAAGTGTGTGGGTGAAAACTACAGGAAGAAGCAAACTTGGCAGCCTTCACTTGTGGTTTCCATTTTAACTATTCAAAATGTTAGACCTGGGGTCTTCATCAAATGAAAATTCACTTACAGCAAACAGTCTTCAATCACTCTTATCCATTTTTAACAGGTACTTCCCTTTGTCCTTACAGATATTCAGCTTAGTTCTAGATATGACAATTCAATATGAAAAGACTACAGTTAATATTTGCTGAGTTAGAGACAAAAAGACAGTGAGTACACAGACCATGTTGCAGGCAATCCCACCCTCAGGATGGGTCATTCTCAGTTCTGTTCTTTTTTGCTGTTCACCAATGTCACAGAAAAAAATGTACTGGCAAACATAAATACAAGGACAGGTTGTTTTAGGTATATTATTTTCTTCCAATGTAGATAAACAGATACATTCTAGAAAATTAATGCCCCATATATGACTTGCAGTATCTCTCTACACTAAAAAAAGCATTGCATTAGACAGAGAATGCTGTATGTTACTACTGACATTGTATTCTGTGCTGGTTTTGGCTGGGGTAGTGTTAATTTTCTTCACAGTGTCTGGTATGGGGCTATGTTTTGGATTTGTGCAGAGCACAGGGTTGATAATGCAGAGATGTTTTTGCTATTTCTGAGCAGAGCTCACACAGAGCCAAGGCCTTTGCTGCTTTCTGTACTGCCACACTGGCAAGGAAGTTGGGG